ATTTGCAAAAGTTTACCCCTAATAATTCATCTCCGAGTTTCGTAGGCATATTTTGAATCTATGTGAAACTTTTCATAAATTACAAATTTCTTGGGAACTTTACCCCTAATAAAAGGTCGCACTCTTTAATCTTTATGTTCTTAAAAATTAAACTGAAAGAGTGAGAAGTAAGCATATAATCACCAATATTAGCCTTAACTTCAAAACGCATCATTCCATATAAACCATGCTCTTCAAAACTGTCCTTAAAATTAGACACATAAGCATTTCCAACTTATGTGTCAAAACGCATCATTCCATATAAACCATGCTCTTGATGATATTTTATATACAATTTAATTATGTACTTTAAAAAAATGAACGAAGAACATATAAAAAATATAACAGGGAAACTGCACTATTAAGGAGATTGATATAGTTACTTTCTGTTTCTTAATTTTATTTTCCCTGGATGCTCACATACTTCTATATATAGTCATTGGTACCACCAAATAGATTTTTAAAACTTTTATTATACCATGTTTTTGAAACATGTGCCATATATCATATATTTCTTAGATATAAAAAATTTCTTGTCATTTCAGTACTTGTAGGAACTTAACATTATTTCCTTTTTCTTGTTTGATAATCAAGTGTAGGCAGATTTATTGTCTAAAAGTTTGACAACAAAATTGATGCAAATGCCCATTAAAAAAACTTATACACATGACACAATAATAGACCATGTTTTGTAGACTTGGACAAATTAATAGAGTAGTTATTTTTTTTTTGCAAGAAAAAAACTTAATTCTCATTAATCAAATCATCATCCAAAATAGATACAATAAAAGAAGGAGAATAAAATCAAGATCGTGTGTCGGTCAAAGAACATGCTGTTCTGGCTAAAACATGGGTTGTCTTGTTCGCTGACCGCCTAATATGATAAAAAGAAATGTTCAAAAAATTGCTCGCCAAATATCTAATGTCATCACCAATCAAGATGAGAACAACAGACTACTTCAACCTCAGACCACCCCACATGAGAACAACTCGAACCACATGAGAACAACTCGAACCATGCAATATCTTGGAGATAGCCCGAGATGCAACAGACTACTTCAACCTCAGACCACCCCTCGCCTTTGAGCCCACTAAGAGCTTCTCGAACACCAATTAATTCAGCGCCTAATGAGGATAATTTCCCCATCGTCATGCAAACACCACCCGAGGCTGCTGCTAATTTCCCAGATTGGTGCATCAACTTTTAACTTCAATTTTCCCTGCGCCGGTTTGCTCCACGAAGCTACTGGTTGTTGATCTGCTTGCCTCTTCCCTTTTCGAACTGCCTGGACTTGAGACCAACCGTCTAGAAACGCCCGAGCACGGTACACAACCTGCTGCACGGAAGAATACACGCCTTGCCAGACCCACTGGTTTCTTTCCCCCATATAACCCAGCAGCCCCAAATTAGATTCATCAAATCCTCCCACCTTCGAGTTCGAAACTCCTTTTGAATCTGTTCCATGAACGAAGCTTCCTCCTTACTAACAAGAGTTCATAGTAAAAGCAACAAAATAAATCAAGTATCCCGGTCTTACCAGCCACCACGAAGGGAGAAGATGTTTGACCAGCCACCTCCAAAGGAAGCATCTCGTTTGCGGACCTGTCAGTGTTGTTCCAGGAGCGCCACCGCTGAGCCGTTTTTTGACTTGTCTCCATCAACCTCCATATGGACTTGAACCTCAACCAGGTTATGTAAGTTCACAACTATTCCTTCCCCAGATTCTCCTTCCTCTATGGCTCTAATTTGCTCTGTTTCCTTATCTTGTCACTTATGGAACCTCGCCCCCACGCAAGATGAGTCATTTATTTCTCGGATGAACCCCTTCACACCGCAAATATGCTCTCATCCAGGGGTCACAAGGCTTCTCTTCAACCCGTGCCCTGAACTGGTATTTGATTGGCAATAGCGATCATCATGGATCACTACTCTATAGATGAAACAAATGTCGGGGAGTCTCTAATACTTGAAATTCGCCCAGAACCAGCTATCACCCTCTTCTCTAATCTGTTTTCTTCCTTTCAACGCGTGCTTTATATTTATGGAAACACGGATGCGAATGTACTCTTTACCGGCTCCCTTTAACGTCTTTTCACCAATATGAATCAATCATCCTAAGTAACGACCAATTCCCGTCATCACTTTTTTTAGTCATAAAGCTTAGGGGTAGATTGTGGATTTGAACCCATAACTCTACATGATCCAACTCCACCTCTAATGGTTTGTCCATCACGTACAACCTCCTAATATTTTCTAAATTCTGATCAAAAGACCACACCCCATCCTGCCACACCCGAGAGATAGCACTCTTGTGATAAAACTGAAACATGAAACACATATCTCCAATATGTTTGATGCTCACTCCTCTGCCCGGAATCCATATCATTGCCAGTGTCTCACAAAAGAGATTGACTGGGTAGGTTTGTCTGTGACAACCCTAGCTACAATAGGGAAACATGGATTTTCTCTGTCCCCACTATCAACATCCAAGGCATCAAATTCAAACACTAATCCACTATTTTCCTCTTCCTCACTAGACATCCTCCTATAAGCAAGATATATACTCCCCATGAGAGAGAGAGAGATAAAAGAACACACACAAAACTTCTGGTAGTAATCAAACTAGCAACTCAAACCAACAACACAAACGTTTAGTAAGAAATGCACCAATAACTCGGCCATAGTAGAAGCTCAGTCGGACTGCAACAGACATAATAAATTGAATATAATTGAAGAAGACACGCCTAAAATCTACAGTCTTGTATAGCGCCGAAATCTACTTGTGATATCTTAGATATGAAGATGAAGCCCACTCTCTTTCGAAGCCATAGATTGTTGCCAAGCTCCTTCAGGGTCGATGAGCGCAAGAGGGAGTTGATGTGCCACCACTGCTAGGGTTCATCACTTCCTTCTCATTCAATTATTTCTACAATATAAGATCACGTTAGAAACACATATACAATAATTGCAAAAGGGTCCAGTTTCAATAAAAAGTGATATTCCCATGAAACATGCGAACATCTCCACTTTTGGTCATCTGCAGTGCAATATTGTATTTTAATGTTTTCATCATCCACTTTTGCTCATCCCAAAAGAGGAGAGTGTGACAAACTTTAAAATATAGAGGGAGTAATACTATAATGGTTGTGCACATGTTCGGATAATAAACAATATCTATTTATATTAGAAGCTAAGCAACTAAGCGTACACGTACATACAAATATTTGAAAAGACATTTTTCAAGAATACCTATTACAAATAATGACAAAAATAAGACTCTCACCTTTTGATTAGAAAAAAAGAGGACAAATTCTCGTTAATGACAAAAAGAGACTAAAATAGTACCAAATATTTAAAATACCCCTAAGATCTGAACGCATACGTCTCTTCTTCGCATTGATCTCGAGATCAACACCCATATCTTCTTCACATCAATCTGAAGACTAACACCCATCAACACATCACATTCAATGGCCATCGATCTCCAACGTGGCATCCCCTCAAATGCTGCAAGTACCTCCATCGCATTCGCATCTCCTGGTGATGGTAAGCGGCGGACGATAGAAAACAAACAATCATTATAAGCTATGGCGAGTGAGGACGAAAGCCCGACATCGTTGCTGCCATAAATTTTGATCGAAGACAGGGATCTCAATTATTCGATTTAATTCAAGGGTTTATGACTAAGGTTGGTTGGGGTTGGACGGTGGTGGGTTGGGGGTGGAGAGGGGTGGATCAAGACTGGTTTGGGCTCGTCGTAGATGGGGCTGGGGAGGGACATGGGGCAGTAGGCATCATATGGGGGTGACGATCGTAGCGGCAAGCATCCAGTATCATTGGACATTTGTATTATTGGACAAGGTGTCATTGTTGCCAACGAGATGACACCATGACAGGCAAGGTGGTCACTGTGGCCGTCATCGAGTCACTGCCGACATTTTTGTAAATTAACTTCAAAATAGATTCTATTTTTCTTCAATACTTCTATTTTAGTAATATATTGGTGACAAAACACTTTCCAATTATTTGCTTCAATTTATTTTTTCAACGTCCTATTTAGCTTGACATCAAACTTCACACAAATTCTCTTACAAAATAAGAAGAAAAGCGGAAGGGACTAGAGAAACCATAAAAAGAAACAAGGAGATAAAACAGAAATATAATACTACACACTACGTATATAATACTACATATAGAAATATAATACTATGTAGTATACATGATAGGTTCCCTAACCAAGAGTCGATGAAGAAACCCTAAATTCGAGATGCGTTTTTTGGTCATTCATTCTCTCTGTGTGATTTTTGGTTTTGTTCTTCCAATCGGGAGTTTATGTGACACTTTAAAGCAACAAATGCCTACTCTTATTTAGGATAATTTTTAAATAGATCTCATTGGTTAATTTGGTGTAATTTAAATAAAGCACACACGTAACTATGGATTAGGAAAACAAAAATAACACGTTTTGAATTTTTTTTTGGCAAAATTAACATATTTTGAATATATAACTAAAATAAAATAAAGATGATGCCATAAAATAACGTGATTTCTTAAACAAATTCAACACTCCATTTTTATTATAATCATTTTTATATTCTGTATTAAATAGACCATAAAATTATACACATAAGAATTATAATATAAATACACTTGTATAAAAGATTTTTTTGAATACTTCGTACTACCTCCGTCCCGGAATTATCTCCTTATTTGACTGGACACAGGTTTTAAGATAGTGAGAAATGTGTGGTGGAGAGTTATGCAGAGGAAAGAGAAATGTGTAAGAATGTGTAAGAATGGTTGTGACCCACAAATTCTTTGCCAAAAAGAGAAAGATGAGATAAATTTGGGACGGACCGAAAAAGAAAGTATCAAGATAATTTCGGGACGGAGGGAGTAATATTTTTAGAAAAATCAAACATCAATACTATTTTAAGAAAAATCAAACATCCCTGTCAAAAAAAAAATCAAACATCAAAAACAAAAAATGAATTCTTTCATTTCCCTTCCAAGAAAACAGTTGGAAGATTGAACACAGAAGTCATAGAACCCTGAGCCGCAACACCCATTTGCCACTTCGGAGATCTCCGCCTGTAGAGGAGTAGTTACCTGCAGTCGCTCATACTCTGCGTGATCTTTAACTCAGAAAATAATCTAAGCTACCGCTCATTCTAGTCACCACCATTCAACAAGCGGACCTCTTGGTCACACAAGAAGCCCTGGGGCAATGTCTGGCATGGCATCGAAGTTCGGGTTGGCCGGAGGGATTCCGGAGCGTCGAGTCCGACCCATCTGGGACGCCATCGACTCTCGCCGGTACAAGAACGCTCTCAAGCACTGCACCAGTCTGCTTTCTAAACATCCAAACTCTCCTTATGTTCTGGTAAGTCTAATAGAACTTGCATTCGGATCCGCATAATACGTACGAAGTACTTTTTATGCTTTTAGTTTATAATTCACAATTCTATTGAACTCAGACATTTGCAATGACCTCGAATTAGAGACCTACGGAGTATGGACACCTCTTCTCCTTTGAATTTAAGTGATAAATTTCACGGGGGGAAATACCTTCTTATATAATTACGAAGTGTCAAATAATAATTAATGGGATCGTTGGTCATTGAGCATGAAGTATTGAAGTTGCAAGAGTGAAAATGGAAAGAAAGAATTACAGAATGGATTGGAAAACAACCAAGGGCGGAGCCTCCTACAATTAAAATGAGAGAAATGGCTAGAATGGTTTTAGGAAATTTGTGGCCTAGTCTTCAAGAAAACATTGTATGTTGTCATACTCATAAGCTGTGTTATTACTGTTATCTACTAGCCGAGTACATATCGATCCGAGTACTTATTGAGTACTCTCACCTTGGAGGTGGCTGCTCCAATTAACGTTTTGACTCGGCTGGTTCTGCTTTTCCGATTTACTTGCTGAGTACTCAACAAGTTTCTTAACTTGGTGACAAGAGTTACTTGGCAACCACTAAATATTTTTCGGTTAAATCTAAAAAGTTAAACTACAGTGAGAGTATGGAATTTATAAATAATGAGTTAGTATTTTAAGAGCTGGGATTATAAAATAACATTAAAAAGTCAGTCTAGGATTAAAAGTGTTTCACAGATCGGCTCATACAAGTTAAATGATTGATTTTCTTGGAAACTTAGAATATTTATGATTTTTGGGATTATTAGTATTATAATTTTATTCATATCTAAGAATTATAAGACTAATATATTACTTCAATTTCGGGCATCTATATTTCAAAATTTAATTAATACATAGCTGAGTAGTCTTGACTACGGAGTACTAGTCCTACTCGCTACTCGGTCCTTGACCGAGTTTCTACCGAGTAGTGATTTAACTACTTAACTTAGCCCATGTCAGCAGGGTACTCTTATTGGCTCCTGAATTTTATATTATTCATTTCCGTTTTAAAAACAAGGTTTACCTTACTACTCTCTTGATTTCAACTAGGTTCCCTCTGGCCCTACCTGAATTTTTAATTCAACTGAAATTTCGTAACATGTAAGTACTTATGAGTATTCCTGAATGAATCAAATAGAAAGTTAATAATAAAGGAGGTGTGACTGAATGAACCATAGTCTTTTTGTTCCCATTCACATAAAACGAATAAAAGAAAGAGAACACTGTTTTTGGCTGCACGCACTCTGTTTTATAAAACATTAAATAAACAAATATGTTTTATGTTGATAAGCTTTTGGTTTTGATTTATGAAATGTTTTATGATTTTATGATTAGCTGTGATAATGTTGTAGTGTTGTAGTATCAAATACTACCTCTGTCCCCTTAAGTTTGGGACAAAGGGGTGTGGTGTGGTTTTTAAGAAAAAGTAGAATTGTGTGGTTGGTATTGAATTGATAAAGTGTGAATAAAGTAAGAATGAATTCTAACCACTCAAATATTACTAAATATGGTATGTGACAAACTTAATGGGACGGACGAAAAAGGTAAAACGAGACAAAATTAGGGGAACGGAGGGTGTATATGTTATAGTTCATATTTGATATTTTAATCGCGAGTGACTCTCTGTGCTGTACTATTTTCTACTTAATCTTGTTCATCTGCATCGGGTTGAACAAGATTCCTTGATCTATATTTTTCATCATAAAACCCAACACCAACCTTTTGTGAACTAACATGAAAATCATTTGGTGACTAGTACTCCATATTGGTTTCTGTCATTGAGAAGAAAAAATGTTCTTCATGATTGAATTATGAATAATATGGTCTTTGTTACAATAACCTTTTGAGAATTTCTAGTTTTGTCTCAGGCATTTTATTTATGTCATGTTCTTTGATCTCATGCAGGCACTGAAGGCTCTCATTTTGGAAAGAACAGGGAAACCTGAAGAAGCATTGTCTGTTTGTCTGAATGCCAAAGAGCTTTTATATACCAATGATTTTGCTTTGATTGACGATTATACTCTCAGCACATTGCAAATAGTTTTCCAACGACTTGGTCACTGTCAGTATATGTTTTTTCCTATTCTTTTTAATGTTGTTTTATTCCTTCTAAATAATTGAATTTATTTCCTGTATCTGATATTGAATACGTGTCTGACAAGATAGTGGATGCGGCAACAAGCTGTTATGAGTATGCTTGTGGGAAATTTCCTAACAACATGGAACTAATGATAGGTCTTTTCAACTGTTATGTCCATGAATACTCATATGTGAAGCAACAACAGGTTTGATCGAATTCCACAGTCAAACTTTTCTTTTTATTTCTCATTTTCTCTTTGTTATCGTGCAAGTATTTCTTTCCTCCTCATGGCTTCTAGTTACTTCCTTTCTGATTCGTAGATAGCTATTAAAATGTACAAGATTGCTGGTGAAGAAAGGTTCTTGATTTGGGCAGTTTGCAGCATTCAATTACAGGTTCTATTCTCTGCTATATATATATTTTATCTGTTTGCTTAATTGCAGCCTTTTTATTTTATCATTTTTATATATATTCATCTTTTTTTATATTATCTTTTCATAATAGCTTATCTTTTTATCTTTATTCCTTCTTTTCCTTTTGGTTGTGATATCATGTATCGATTCATGTTAGCCGACCCCAATATCTTTTGGGACTAAGGCTTGGATGTTGTTGTTGTTGTTGTTGGAAGCTGTTTTCTTAAATAGTGATCATGGTGCATTAAGGAAGATCTACTACTATACAAGGTTTTCCATTGAGTATGAGAATAGATTGCAGCATAAGTTGATCTACTAGTAATTTGATCATTTTAATTGTCCGAACAATCCATCTTGATCTTTCCATCATTTGAAATGGAGCCAAATATTCACTATTTTTTGCCTTGAGAATATGGTGGAATAAAGCAAAATGGTTCAGTAAACCCTCTGCGTTTCTTTGTTATGAAGCAGCAGTCAGTCCATGCAATTTTGGACGCAATTTTCAATATGGGTCATTCGGAAACAGTCTCTCTGTGCTTTAGTATAGGGTAAGACCGCGTACATCCGACCCCCCTTACCCCACCGCAGGTGGGAGCCTTTGCGGCATTGGGGTAATGATGATGATGAAACAATCCATCTTGAGCTCATGTGGACTCCGTTCCTTTTACATGTGTGGCTAATTTTAGGCCATATTGCTGGTAACTTGTTGTAAGGATTTCTATGTGATTATATAAACCAGAAACAAAATAAAAGGGACTGCGTTGCGCTTAAACCATGACGTTTCTGATATCACGCACATGCCTTTACTCTTCAGATGGTTATGTTTGGAAGAAAACCTAATACATATATTTGCCTTTTAGATTAATATCTACTAGGAGCATTGACTTCCATTGTGGCGTACTTTATGAAAGCAATGCACTAACCACTGAATCAAGTAAATGTCTAACTTAAACAAGTGCATTCTTATAGTTTCTGTGATTTGATTCTTGTAAGCTCTGTGCATATTGAACGTTGAAGCCTCAACACACACCTCTATTTATGCCAATTGTGATTTTTTTTTATCTGAATGGTTTTTGATCTTTCAACAGGTTGTTTGTGGTAATGGGGGAGACAAATTGTTACTTTTAGCAGAAGGTTTGCTCAGAAAGCACATTGTATCTCATAGTTTGCAAGAACCAGAAGGTGCATTTAGTTTGCTTTCTGTTCTTGATTAGTATTATTTCTTATGGTATGATGTCATTCTATATGATATCCTCCTCTAAAGAAGTAGTTGGTCTATCTTGCAGCTCTTATACTATATATTTCTATATTGGAACAACAATCTAAATATGGAGATGCCTTAGAAGTTCTCGAAGGAAAATTAGGGTCCCTTATAATGATCGATGTTGATAGACTACGTTTACAGGTACTTCCCAAAATCTCTCTTATATTGATATATTGCGTTAATGTTTTGTTACTTGAAATATCCATTGCATCTGGTAGCCACTGTCTACCATTCTGTGCCACTTGCTCTAAACTTCTAATCTCTATCGGTGATTCATGTGCATGAAAAGCTAGAGTTTTACATTTCTGTAACGGTGACCTATATGATTTCAAGTTGACAGGGGAGGCTTCATGCTAGATCTGGTGATTATAATGCTGCAAGTACCGTATTTCAGGATGTATTGAGAAAATGGTATGCTGTCTGAACTCTGAACTGATTACTGAGCATTATTTGTTGCTATATCTTAGGGTCAGTTTGGATAGTGGTTTTTGATTTTTTTTGGAGGTATGCTTGGGGGGGTGGTGGTGGTGGTGGTGGCAAGGATTTTCACCTATTTATGCAAATGACACCGCATATTTACCAAATACGATGCACTGTTGGCTCTTTTAGAGCCATTAGATCTCAAATCCTATGCACGAAAATATTCTCAATTTTCACATTATGACTAATTTTTATTGACCCAAAACATATTTATATCTATATATACTTAGCCCTCCAAACCCCCCTAAACCCTCCAGAAACTCCATCCAAACACAGCCTAAGAATCGTTGGTGTTCATATACTATGCTAGATTACTAGAGACTGAGTACCACGTTGTTGCTAGCATATGATCACTTCCCCTAGGTGCCAGTGAAGTTTGGTTCTGTGAATGTTCAACTTTCACAAATTGAGCTGTTATTCAATTTTTTATTGACTTTCTGTCTTATGCTTTTATCTAATGGTGTTAGCTTTGTTCTGTAGTCCTGATGATTGGGAGTGCTTCCTCAACTATCTGGGGTGTCTAATGGAGGATGTTAGTAGCTTCTGCGATGAATCTAATAGTGAGAACATTTATCTGTCAAAATCTTTAGACTGCAAGGTTTCTCACTTATCAGATGAATTGGTGAGTCTTTAGAATTCTATTACTTTCAATATGTTATTTGAATATGTATTAAAGAAAATGAATATCATTTGATACCATTTTTCGTGCAGTTTGATTCTCGTATAGAAAACGCATCATCCTTTGTGCAACAGTTGCTGGTAGAAGCAAATAGTGATTTTATAAGATGTCCATATTTAGCAAACCTTGAAATTGAGAGGAGGAAGTTTCTAAATGGGAAGGGTGATGCTGATAAGTTAGTGGAGACTTTGGTCCATTACTTTCTCAGGTAAATTTCAACTTCTCTTTGTTCACTGCTGATCCCTTTTTAGGTGCCTGATACGGTATTTCACCCATTTCTTGTTTTTTTGTTACAGTTCTGTTCCCTAACTATGATTAATGTCATCCTCAATCATAGGTTTGGACATTTGGCCTGTTTTTCTTCTGATGTTGACGCGTTTCTTCAAGTTTTAAGTCATGATAATCAGTGTGAGCTTGTGAAGAAGTTAGAGAAAGCATGTCAGTCTGTAGAGACAGTTCCAACAAAGGCTCTGGGGAAATCTGTCACCATATTCAAGATTCAAAATACTGTAGGACAGTTGTTCACACTTCCCATAGATGGTACCCTTTGGTTTTAGCTTATGGTTCCTTGGATTCTTCTTTTTTATATGTGTTTGTTTCATGCTGATGGAAATAAATACCATACATTGATACATGGACAAAGAGACTTGCAAACTTGCAAGATGTCATAACAAAGAACCCTAGTTAAAACATGGTATTCAAAACCACAATTCAGATCGTAGGATCGCGCAATTTTACGCTCCTGGATGGCTAGATACCTTCAGCGATCTCATTTCTTCAAAAGATTGCAAATTGAGTAGGATTGCATGGATCGCTGGCTTGTAGCATAAAATCGCAGGCTCTTAGGGTATGATTGGGAGTTTGAAGGGAAGGGAAGGGAAGGGGAAGGTTTTGAAGGTTAGTCATTGGAAGGGAAGGGGAGGGAAAGGGGGTGAACCCTCCTTCTTGATTGGGAGTAATAAATTTGAAAGATAGAGGTTATGGATGAGTTATTATAATTAAAATCACTTCACATACATGATACATGATAAATTCAAAACATTGAATTTATATTTACTTAAAGTTGAAATAAAGTTGTCATTAAAATTAGTTATTCTTCAAAATCCCCCAATTTGGTGGAACTTAAAAATTGAGCATTTGGAGGGTTTTGGAAGGTTACGACAGCCCTCCAATACCACCCCTCCATATTTTTAAACTCCCAAACATGAATGGGAGGGTCATAAACCCTTGTTAACCTTCCCCTCCCTTCCAAAACCCAACTCCCACACATACCCTTAGAGTCTTTAAAATTGCAGTTGCATGTTGGGAAAACTGAAACTTCCGAAAATAACTTGTAAAAATCCTGAAGTGTAAGAAGTTGTGGGGAAGGTCGGGAAATTTTAGAAAACAGATATGTAGCTTTAAATTTAACAAAAGTTATCTTATGAATGGTATGCAGTAGCACCTCCATGACTCCATCACCCCTCCTCTCTTCTTCTCTGTAACCTGCCTTTGCTATCTTCTGTTTCGTACAACATCCAGCAGTGGGTATTTATCTATTTACTATATTTACTTGTGTTTTGAATTAGTGTTGCAGTAGAATTGTAGACCTACTTCAACTCTATGTCCAAAAGGTTTAATCCCCAACCCCAAGGGCCCCCCACCTCGACCCGACAGGATGGTGGGGGAGTAAATCACGGTGACTCAGTCGGCAAAGCGGCAGTAGGCCTTTACCCGTGCGCACCAGAGGGCCAACCTTATTTCAGGTTCTGAAAACCCCCTTTTGGCCTCTGCGGGATTCGAACCTTGGTCTATGTCCAATGTTTCCCACCGCTCGACCAACTGAGCTACCCGTGCGGGTACCTACTTCAACTCTAATTTTACCTGGGGATGTGGTGAAGTATTGCGATAAAGTTGTTTACATTTTATTATATTATTGTTACTTTTCATATATTATTATTACTTTTTATTCTATGCATTTCAGTTTACCATATACCTCCATTTTTTTAGTTGCGACGTTCCAGTTTCTCGTTTGCCAACACACACGTTTAACCACTAATATATTTTATTTCTTATTAATAAAATTGTTTTATTAAAAATATTGTTTATTAAAATGAAAAAAATTTAATGATATTTCTAAAAAATTAAATCTATAATACATTAATAATAAAATGTAGTCAAAGTAGGGCATGCGAATAATGTAAAATTCAACATGTTGCAAATTACTTTTGTTCATTACTATGTCATTCCTTTAGTTTAATACTACCTCCGTCCCTTAAAACTTTGCCAAAGTTGATCGGCATGGAGAATAATAAAGTAAAAACTGTCTGGTTGAGGTTTGTGTAGAGGAGAGAGAAATAACAGAAATCACAAAATAATTGATTAAAAGGGAAAGTGTCAAAGTTTTTTGGGACGTCCCAAAAAGGAAAGATGTCAAAGTTTTAAGGGACGGAGGGAGTACTATATTACATTAGTTAATTAGTGCTACATCCGTCCCGAAAAGGTTCGCCATATTGACTTTTCTTGGTCAATAATGACAAACTTTGGTCAATGTTTTTAATTATTATATTTGTATATAATTTAAAATTTTATACTTTTTTGAAAATATATTGAATAAGGAACATTTTGACATAATTTTAATATTCAAAATAATTTCTTATTAAAAAATATCATTAGTCAAATTTGATTGTCATTGACCAAGAAAGGTCAATTTGGCGAACCTTTTCGGGATGGAGGGAGTATATTACTCCGTATTACTTTTGTTTATTAGTGCTCCTGCTCCTGTAGAATTAAAGTTCTTTATCGGATCCTGCTCCTGTAGAATTAAAGTTCTTTAGGAACTTATGTGGGTTTTTTCTTATAAGCTCATTAGTTGAATATCTGAATGTGCGGCACATGAGACCACTCTACACTTACACGGCTATTTTCATTGCAGTAAAAACTATTCCCTATGTCCCTTAAAACTTTGCCATCTTTCCTTTTTTGGTTGTCCCAAAAACTTTGCCACTTTCCTTTTTATCAATTAATTTGTGGTTACCGTTATCCTCTCGCACAAATCTCAACCACACAGTTGTTACTTGGCAACTTGAGAGTCAAACTTGGCAAAGTTTTAATGGACAGAGAGAATATATAATTCCTGCTCATGTTGTTAGTACCCCGTCAGCTCTTTTTTGGTGCATATTTTAGTCAAGATATTTTTCATTTAACAGATAATACTGATGCATTTAAGAAACTAATGAACACTTTGTTTAATGAACTATTACTGATGCATTTAAGAAACTAATGAACATGTTGTTTAATGAACTATCTCCTAGTTGATTTATGTCTCTAACTCCTTTTCAGAACTTGAGAAGCTTGCTGTTCAAATGACGAACATGTACTGTGAAAACCTTGCTTTATCCAAAGATTTGGATGAACAAGAATGTATGTATGGTGAAGAGCTTTTGACTATGGCATGCAATGTGTTAGTTCAGGTACTTTAATCTCCAACAAATAATACGATTCCTAAATTTAAGATTAAAATAATTTAAATATAAACAGAACTAGCCTGCAATGCTCTTATCGTCTTATGTTAACAAACATAGCATTTCTTTTAAGACATTCTCTTTTCTGCAATGCTCTATGTAAGGAATATGAGGGGTTGATTTTCTTTTCTTGTTAAACATACAATGTCTACCTTATCTTCTCCATCTGCTGTAGCTTTTCTGGCGTACAAGGAATCTTGGCTATTTGTTAGAGTCGATCTTGATTCTAGAATTTGGTTTGACAGTCCGCAGGTAACTGTTTTTTTTTGTATTATCTAGTTAGTTTTTTGTTAACCTTATATCCACACACTAAATGTTGTTTTAGGTGCACATGTCAAAAACTAAAATGACTATACAGACCAACCAATGATAAAGTTTCCGCTTTCTTTTTAATATAGGTTAACTAGTCAGAATTTAAATTTTGTTAGTTTTATTTGTGTCTAATATGATCTTCATATTTTTATTGATAACAGATACGTGTTCCAGTATAAGATCCTTTTGTTGCATTTATATTCTCACTGGTGCTGTCTTCCATTGGCCTATGAATGGTGAATTTAGTTTACTTTATTACTCTTATGTTTGAGCATAATGGGGATATTTTAGCTAATACGGAGTATTTCACATTTTCATGCATGTTCACTTCTTCCTTTCCTCTCTATAGGTACAAGTCACTGGAGGTCAAGAATATTTTGCTGGAAACTGCATGTCACCATATTTTACCGCAGTTGTTGGCATCTCCACTGTGGGGAGACGCTAGTGATGTTTTGAGGTGCTATTTGAAGTTCATGGATGATCACTTAAAAGAATCTGCTGATCTTACCTTTCTTGCCTACCGTCACAGGAATTACTCAAAAGTATGTTGGCTGCTCTCTGCCTAAATTCTATACATTTCTATTTTCTTTTTTATTTCATAGTCCACATGCTTAAAAAATTTAAAAATAAAAGCCATAACACTTAAATATTGTCCTTGTATTTTGTCTAGGCTATTGAGTTTGTTCAGTTCAAAGAACGATTGCAGCGTTCAAGTCAGTATGTGATGGCAAAGATTGAAGCACCCATTTTGCAGATGAAACAGAACGCAAATAGCATTGAGGCAGAGGAGGTAACTATTTTCCTTTTTTATGGTTGTGCTTAAAGTTACCTTTGCATTTTATTTTAATAGCCCGTCTTTTTTCTTCTCTAAATCAATGTATATATATTTTAAAGTGTATTTTAGAAAATTTGAGGTCTGGAGCACAGATCCTTGAGCTGTTAAATGAAATTGGAATCAAGCCATTGACATTCAATCAAGATTTACAACTACGCCCTTGGTGGACTCCAACATATGATAAAAATTATCTGTTAGGTCAGTTCACGTTGTTTTACTCTTTTGGTATGTCCAAGTGTTTGATTTTTGGTGAAGTGTTTAGGCTGGTTTTTCTTGGTTGCAGATACATTTGAAGGAGTATCCTGTTGTCCTAAAGAATTCATGGTAGGGAATGCTTCTATATTTTTAGTAGGTGCTGGAGCAACCCCTCCCTAAAATAATGAATGAAAATAAACTAACATCATGTCAACTGTTATTTGCAGCATAAGCAAATCCAACGATCAGAAGCAAATGTGATTAAAAACATTGAGAAGAGATCCCTTATCCCACGCATGGTTTATCTGTCAATGCATTGTGCTGCAACATCGGTGAAGGAAAGTACTGAAAGCAATGGCTCACCCTTTGATCCTAAACTCTCATCAGAATTAAAGCATTTGCTTGATCAGTACGCCAATGCCTTGGGATTTTCAGCCCAAGATGCTTTGGAGCTGGCATTTGGAGTACTGAGTGGCCGCAAGCAATTAGAGGTATACTTTCCCTCTTTTGGCCACTTGCATGCTTGCATCTGGCAGTCCTAATTATCTTAGAACATGCCCTCTTTTAACAACTCGGACTCTATAAAGTTAAAGTAGCATGCCACGCGCTACGTGCAATAGGTGCACAATGTATTTACTTGTATAAACTTATCATTTCAGTACATTATGTCAATATTAAGAACATGTGATTACAATGCAACTAAAGAACTCTAATGGATGTTTAAAAAGAATGGAAACTTGGATACACAGTGTGTGATAAAGAGTTCAACATCACCTGCCATGCTCAAATTTTCTCAAACATGAAATCATGAATATCAAAGTGCATGAGGTTTGAAAAAATTAAACAACCCAAGTACGGTTAGAAAAGATATAGCTCATCTACAACCCTACACAACCAGTGTTAAGTGGGTGTAAAAGCTAGTGTGTGAACAAAGCAGTGATTATAGAAGAAGCAATGTAATTAATTACACAAAAACCTTAATCAATTAGGTTTTTCAATGGCTAAATGTATGTGGTTTGTTTTATGGAATCATAAGTTTACATAATGATAGACGTTTTGATAGAGGCGACCCTTTGTAATGACACACGGCATGTAGTGATAAGGGATCTCACTTTTTTAGTAAGTAAAAAAATCGGTTGTACTTGCAATGATGGTTTTTCTAGGAGTGAATGAGTTTTATTTTCAGGAAAAAACCAATGATGGTCCTATTTGAAGAAATATGTTACTACCTCCTCTCTAAGTTTGGTATATGTGTAGGTGGTCCGATTATTATGAAAAGTGAGTTTATGTAGTTGGTATTGAGTTGGTAAAGTAAGAATAAGGTAAGAACAGTTTAGAACCACACACAAATTATCAAATTCTGTATGAGACTATCTTTTTGGGAAGGAAATTTGTATATTGCAATTAGCCAGTGACCATAAAAATACACTCGTACTGAAAGGGAAAAAATAGGGCAATTTTAGTGGGGCGGAGGGAGTATATTTGAAATACTCTTATTATTGGAAAACAAATTGGGGTTTTTCCAAATTACTAGAATAAATCATATAGAAACAAATGTGGCATAAGTTAGTATGGGTGTATTTTTATGGTCACCAGCTCAGTACGATATACAAATTGAACATGGTCACCATTACTGTTGAAAAACTCCATTCTTTGCGAATTTAATAATATTTCCATCTTAGTTCCTTTTGCTCATTTTTTATTTAATGAGAATCTATGTTATCAGGCTTCTCTTTCTTGGGTACACAAACATTTTATTCATGACAATCTGTAGTTTAATTGTGATACATTTGCTAAAACCTGATAATTCTTCTCCTACATGATAGGAGTTGAACAACGATCTGATTGGCTGGATGAATTTTGTTGTCTTCTTGAACGCATGGGATCTATTATCTCACGGGTCGCCCACAACCCCTACCACGTCGGACCTAGTGAGCTCACTGCTGAAAAAATGTGTAGAGGAAAAGATCACATCCATCGGAGCACACCCATCATTATCAGGCAGTGATTTTCACACCCTAGTCCAACTGCTAACAGAACCCATGGCTTGGCACACTCTGGTCATGCAGTCATATGCACGGTCTGCTTTCCCTTCAGGAAAGAGGAAAAAAAAAGGCGCCCCCTCGGAAGAGCAGTCAATTGCTTCTCAAGGAATAGTAATACAGGACTCCATCCAATCTGCATGTGACGTTCTAGAGTACGTGTTGAATTGGTTGAAAGAACACATGAGCAGAGATGAAGAAGGCGCAGAGTGGGAAAATTTACTTTCTTCTCTTTATGGAGAGGGGGAAGAAACTGAGGGTGGGCCAGGAAAGGTGTTTCGGATCATAAACAAGTTGACGTCATCAGCAAATGATGGTGTGGTGGGGTATCGGGTCTCACAAGCACTGATGACCTGGAGTCCCGCTGACGTGGTTAGGAAGATCAGAAGTGGTCAGGTCTCAGTGTTGCACGAATTCAATACAATTTGTGAATCTAAACTCAAATCACTTCAGGCATTCAAATCTCATTTGTAGCCTCTGCTATTTTGTAGTTCAATTTTCCCCTTGGTCTTGCCTTTTTGTGAGGCATTTTTCTCTCTCCCCAGAATGCTGCAGAATCTCTATAAATTTTCTCATTCAAGTTATTCTATACACACTATTAACAATAAGCTCTCTGATATCTCTTTTTAGAGAGTTGTAGACTATTGGCATTGGTTTCAGCATGATTTGCTATCATAATTTTTAGAGTAAGTTGCCTCAAATAGGACTAAATAGTTGCTGAAATTCCAAAATAGGAGTAGGTATAATTTTATTCCCCAAACAGAATCATTTTTCCAATTTTGTCCTCTAATTCATTTCAACCCTGCTGTCCTTGCGGCAACTTATAACCTCCGTTCACGCAAATCAGGGTCGCATCTTCTACGCATAGCTGGGCTTCAAGTCTTCAACTGCGAGAGGTGGCGAGCAGTGGCAGCGAGCACCAGCGAGCAGCGCCGGTGAGCAGCGGCAATGAGCGTACGTGGTCTGTATCTTCCTTCACACTCCTCTGTTTCTTCAATTTTTTCCCGATTGAATCTGGTTTTTTCCATGTTGCCTTTTTGCTTCTTCTTTTGTTTTATACGAATTTTTGTAAGCCTTTGCGTCTTCTTCCTCATGTTTGGGTTCTGTAATTGCTCGGTTTTGGGTTGGTAATGGCTTGCTGCCTCTGTGTTTGTTAATAATGTTTGAAATAAAACTAATGTGGTTAACTTCGTTTTTACAATTGCCCTTTTTTTAAATGCCATCAAAATGACATTCTTATTCTTTAAAAATTTAATATTTTTCTTTGAAAATGCCATTAAATTGACATTCTAGATTCTTGTTGGCATTTTGATAAAAAAGCTGGCATCAGTGTCAGTCAGATCTGCCATGGCGACGGCCGAATTTGCGGTGGCCACGTCTAAATCTGCAGTTATGGCGGCAGTTGGCGGTCGGCGAAAGTTAGATCTAGAGAGGCGACGGCCAGATCTATGGCGGCGATGATTAGGTCTGCAACGGTGGCGGCCAACTCTTCAACGGCGGCTAGTTTTGAGGTTGCGACGGCGGCCGATGGCGGCAAGTCCGACGGTGGCCGGTCCGACGGTCTGTAGGTAGCAGTCTGTTTTGTCAAATTCAGGGGTATTTCTGTCCAAGTGAAAATAATAACTCTTATTTAGGGATCTTTTAAACTTTAGTCCTATTTTGGCAATTAATAATTTAATTACTCCCATTTAGGTAAATCGCCCTTTATTTATTACTTGTTGGAAATTTATTGAAAAATGGAGGTCGCATGCTCAACATGATCTTTGGAACATTATTTTAATAAATATTAATTATTAAGGATAATGTTAAAGAATACTTAATGGGTTATTATTATTATTATTATTATTCTTATTATTGTTGTCGTCGTCGTCGTCGTCGTCGTCGTCGTCGTCGTCGTCATCATCATTATTATTATTATTCAAACAAAAATTGCCCTAAATAGGAGTAAAAACACTTTGAAATTTCAAAATAGGAGTATCATGTATTTTATTCCTTGAATATGAGTAATCTGCCAAGTATAGAAAAAATGCCATTTTTAAAGCGTAGTAATGCCAAACATGGCAGAAATTTACTCATATTCAGGGAGAAAAAAACATTATACTCCTATTTTTGAATTTCAAAGCATTTTTACTCATATTTAGGAAATTCTCTCATAAATAAATTGGGTAATCATCTAAATAGGAGTAAATAAAACCAAAATTGCAAGAATAGGTGTATGAAAATTAATTTCTTACAATAAGAGTGACTCTTCCTATCCTACCATTTCCATCGTCATAATGTCATCCTTTAACATGATTTATTTTTAATAATAATAAAATATAAAAAAATAAAAGCGTAAAATAAATAAAAAACATACAGGCCTAAGCAACCCTCTAGCACCGCCACTTCCAGTCGCTAGAAAAGCCAACCTACAAAAACAATCATCGTGAGAAAATTTTCCACTTTTGGTCCCTCGAGTATTATACCACTTCCGCATTACGTACCTGACTTTCAACTTGTCCACATTTAGTCCCGACGTTTTCTTCCTTTACCATCCGTCGTCCTTCCGAACAAAACTCCGGCCGGTTGAATCATTTATTAAAAAACGGAAGGTTAGTCTACTAATTTCATAGGCTTAAAACGGCTAGAAGTCCATTCTCTGCATACCTGCGCTTACTCTATGAAACTTCCGGCTGAATGAGGACGATTACTCTGCGAACCCTAAAACCATACCGGTGAATGAGGACGCTTCCGGCTGGAGTGTTTGCAATCAGAATGGGGCGCAGATCGAATGGAGAAGGAAGAAGTTGTCATCAAAGTTCTTCATCAAATGTTGCTGGTAATGGTAAGTTTGTTGAATTGAAGTACAAATGGTGCTCGGTAGGGTATGGTTTTGTGCTCGGTAGGGTAGGGTTTTGTTATTGAGAATCTTTTTTCTCTTTACTTTTTGGGATTTGACAAATGGGACCAATTCTTTTTCCTTTTCCCTTTACTTACAATGATTGAACTACCACATTAAATGTTTTTTATGCAGCCCCATGTGATACCACGTTTACTCTAAAGTTGAGGTACGGAGGAAGAGTGAGTGAGAGTAGCAGACCATTTTACAGGGGACGTACTACACATTTGTTTTCTGATGTAGATGTGGATGAGTTTGGCTTAATTGTGTTGAAAGAGAAACTAGAAGAAGTTGGTTGCACAAAGAAGTTAAGAAGAGTCTTTTGCTATTCAAATTCTTCACTAAATGAACTGAAAGGTGACTCTGAAATCTGGTCCTTTATGAGTAATGGCAGTGTGGGTAAAATTGTGGAGTTGTGGATAGAATTAGAAGAAGTTGATGATAATGGAGATACAGATGAAGACCTCTCAGATAGTGATTTTGCTTATAGTGAGAAGGACCTAGAAGACTTTTCAGGGGATGATGAAGATTCTGACCTAGGGGACTTCATATGTGAAGATGATGCTGATTTTGCTAAACACATTGATCCAACAGCTGAATATGGAGGGCTGCACAACAACAGTGAAAGACAGAACATAGAAAGTGAATCATTAGTGGTAGATCCTGATCCAAATTTGTCTGATGATGCTTCAATACATGATTCAGATTCTGATGCTGAAAAGTGGAGTACATTTTGTGCCCAAACTGATATGGAAAACCCATCTTTTAAGCTTGGAATGACATTCAGTACCAAACATGAATTCATGCAGGCAGTTCAAAACCATGCTTTCAAGACTGGTAAAGATGTGAAGTTTGTAAAGAATGACAAGATAAGAGTTGTTGTGAAGTGCAAACACCTAGACTGCCCATGGAGGATCAATCTCAGAAAGGTAGTTGATGCTCACTCTTGGAGGATACTTGAGTACCAAAATAAGCATGATGGGTGCTCTTGGGTGTATCACAATAAAATGGTTAACTCAACCAAAGTTGCTAAGAGATGGTTGAAGGAGATTAAAAGTCACTCAAACTGGAAGACCAAAGAATTCAGACAAAAGGTGTGTACTGATGAACGATTCCATGTAAGTACAAGGCAGGCTTACAGAGCAATGAGCACTGCCAAAAGAAAGCTCAGAGGTGAGGAGGATGCATACTTTAACAAGATCTGGTGTTATGTGGAAGAAATAAGAAGGACTAATCCACTAATCACATGCACTGTAAAACTCAGTGAAAACATAGAAGAGGGTGGGAAACAAAGGTTTTTGAGGATGTACTTGTGTTGGGAAGCATCTCGAGAAGGGTTCAAAAGTTGCAGACCAGTTTTAGGTTTGGATGGCACTCATCTTAAAACAATGACAGGTGGGTAGTTGCTAGTTGCAGTAGGGTTAGATGCAAACAATAGCATCTTTCCTTTGGCCTATGCTATTGTTGAGGGGGAAACAAAGGATTCATGGGCTTGGTTTTTGAATCTAGTAAGAAGGGATGCTGATATCAATGAAGAGAATGAACATGTATTCACATTGATGTCTGACAAGCAAAAAGGCCTCATCCAAGCTGTTAATGAATTATTTCCCATGGTTGAACATAGGTTCTGTGTTAGGCATCTACATGGGAATATGAAAGTGGCTGGATTTCCTGGAAAAGCTGTGAAAGATGCACTTTGGGACTGTGCCAGGGCTTGTACAGTGAATTCTTTCAAAACAAGTCTGACCAAGTTAAAGGAAATTGATGAAAAGGCTTTTGATTGGCTGGCAGATAAAAATCCTACAGAATGGTCCAAGTCTCATTTCTCTACACACTCCAAAACAGATATGTTAACTAATAATATATGTGAGTGTTTGAATGGGGTCATTTTAGAGGCAAGGCAAGAGGCTATTTGAGTATGTTTTGAAAGCATTAGGAAGCTACTGGTCACAAAATTTTTTACTAGTAGACAAAAGGCAGAGAAATGGACTACTAATTTGTGCCCTAGAATTGTGAAAAAGTTACAAGAAATTGAGAAGTTAGCTGCAGGTTTAATAGGGTATCAGTGTGGTGAGAATGACTTTGAGATTACTGGAATGAGTGGTACACAGCATGGGGTTGATTTAGAGAGGAAAATATGCACATGCAGGCTGTGGGACTTAACTGGTATACCATGCAAACATGCTGTGTGTGCTATTTGGTTGAAGTATGGAAGAGGTCCAGTTGATGCTTACGTGCACCCATGTTACACAAAAGAATCATATTTGAAGATATATGCTGGCAGTATAAAGCCAATGGCAGGCAAAGATGAGTGGTCTATTTCTGATAAAATTCCCCCACTTCCTCCTGTGTATTCAGCCAAGCCCGGAAGGCCAAAAAAACTGAGGAGGAAATCAGCTGTGGATCTAAGCAATGATGGAGTGAGAGTAGCAAGGACACACATCAAGATGCATTGTTCAAAGTGTAGAAAAGAAGGCCATAATGCAAGGAGGTGTCCTAAAGATCCAAATAACAAAGAGAATCTGGTAAATACAGTCATGATTTATGTTATTTATGTCATTTACTTATTTAGGACTTATATGTACTTCATCTTATTTTTCTTTAACCATTATATTTTTTCTACACACAGCTTCAACCTAGAAAAAGAAAACCAAAATCTGCACCAAGGCATAGTGGAGGAAGTGTTGGTGAAAGTGCTGGTAATGAGGATGTGGGAGCACCCAAGGTTTCTGCTTTAGATGAGGACAACCTTATGGATATCAATATGCAATATGAAGACTTCCCATCTTTAGGACTTGAGTTTCCTATTGTTGTTTCAGTGGAAGATACTTCAATGTTCACTCAAGTGAGTGACCAAGAAGCTGAAAAACTAAGTGGCCAAGATGCTGAAAGAGAGACTGGAGAAGGGACTGAAACCCAAAGTCAGGATAGTGCTGCAAACCAGAGTGATGCTATTGATGAAAACAAGATTGATGATGTTGACAAAGAC